ATGCTTGTTGGCAGGTTTGGTCAAGAAGCCACTTTGGAGGATGATGTGGTGGTTTTCTAACTTAAAAGTATTGTGTTTAAAGCCACTAATCATTGATGAACAAAGAAAATTATGTATCTAAATTAACACACATGGCATGCATACACAGTAGCTTGCACAACTTGCACTTTGGTAATAGATTCAGCATTTTTATTGCTGCTTTAGTTGTGCATTCATAGTTTGCTCTTATTTTTACATTGAATCTATAACTGACTCATTGGTGTTCAGCCAATAAGAGGTCGTGAGTGACAGCGATTACAACAACAGATCTGAAGTGCTGCAGAGCAGAGTAAGTGCTGCTGTGGGAGATGATGAACAGCAGCTGAAGCTGCTCTGACTGGCGGTGTCTGTAAAGACTGAAGCCAGACTGCAGAGGCAGGCCAGAAAGGGCAGAGTGGGCGTCATAAGTCTCTCCTATTACAGTGCACAGAGTGGAGAGGCCAATAACTCTGCTGGAGAGCTCCAGTTGAGTTATAAAATGTTTTGCACATAAAGTCAAAAGTATAAGTACTGCCACTGTAGCTGGAATTGGTGCTTATACTTCTGTCATGGACTCTAAAACAGATCAGAAAGGGAACACTGACTTCATATTTCATTGTAACAATAATCAGAGTATTTCATTGTGGCTGTGCATATATCTGTCATATTAGGGTGTAAATGAAACAGAAAGAAAACCTACTTGGTATCCATCCCATGATGCACCTGTATGGAGATTTGTGCACCTAAACCCAATGAAACAACTCGATGAAGTAAAAAAAACACTTAAGTGAAACAGGAAACACATTTACAGTCTGCCTGCTTATTTCTGCTTCAAAACAACACCCTCTTGCATGTAAATCTGCTGCCGGCTCCACTCAACAACTGTAGGCTCTGAATGCCGAGCTCAAGAGAAAAACAACAGTTGGCCTAAAAGCAGGAGAGCAATTTTCTTTTACTTCCCTGCTAAGATTTTCCCCAACGAGCCAGAGAATCAAATTGTTGACCTTTAAAACACAAGAAGGCTGCATCTCTGTGCCTTCAGGCTGCCACAGCAGAGGGAACGTTAAGAGCGGAGAGGGCCCAGCTGTACCTGCTATAAATACTAGAAACTCAGAAAATACACAGGAAACAAATACCACCTGTCCACAGCGCACTGCTACAGACAACTCCATCAAAAGTGGTGCTAATGAACTAATTGACTCTTATGATTCTTTGCTTTTGTGTAGCTAACAGTGAAGTCAGGCACGATGTCATGCTGAACAGTCCCTTCTTTCTTCCCTTTTTCGTTCATCAGACTCTTCTACTTCCAGCTGCTCCCTTAAGGGTTACCACTGCAAATCATTTGCCTCCATCTCACTCCATCTCTAGCATCCTCCTCTATTAAATCAGCCCCCTGCATGCCCTTTTCCAGTTCTTGCATACATCTTCTTTGTGGTCTTCCTATTTTACTCCTACCTGTTAGCTCCATATTTAGCCTTCCTTGTCTAATACATCCTGGTTGACCGCAAGTATTAAAACTTATCACAACCTCTAGAGCTTGTAGCTGCTCCCGGATGTAACCCCACTGCCACCTTAAGCCCATCTGTCACTCCTACCTCACCATTGTCTCGCTGTCCTCATACATGTACACATAATTCACACAATTGTGACCTCTCCAACATCGTGTTAAGCAATCTGGTGAAAGTTTACTGCCCTCCTTCCTACATATACCTTCACAGGTATGTCATCTGTACCAACCACCTGTCCACTCTTCCTCCTTCTTAGTTCTCTGCTCTTTCCTGCAGCCATCCTCTGCTCTTCTGTTTTCTTCATCCATCAGCTTCTTTCCAGCTTGATCTGTCTGTCTAGACAATTGTTAGAAGTCATTTTCTCCTTTCTTATATATATTTGTTTTTTGCATGATTTTAAACTAAGAAGGAAAGCAGCAGCCCAACTATAAAAATTCATCATTCATTCGATATGTAGTTAATTGTGCCTAAAGTCTGTGTAGATATTTTTGCTTTCATATGACACAATTTGCAAATATTTCTTTAAAAGAAAAAAAAATAGAAACAAAATTTGAATCCTCAAAGCAGAATTTCACGACCTAGTGGATGATGTTGCACAGATGGTGTGCATTTCTGCAGTCTATATTTATGACATACACTGTTATGTTCAACTGATAAATTCCACTCATGGATATATTAATAAGAATGGTTATTGTGAATTTAAGACTAAATAAAAGTTTAATAAATAAAGTTTAATGCATAACACAATCCATGATGGTTCTCTGACTATATTGTTTTTGTAACTCGATACATTTACAATCACAATAGCAACAGTTTTAGAAGTTACTCACAAAGATATTAAATTAATTAATTAGAGTCAAAGAAATAACAGATTACAATGTTTTGAGTCATTATTATATACTGCAGTTCTCTTGTGGGTGGAGATAAAAAGAAATCAATCTGTTTGAGTGGGCTGTGGCATCTCGTTTAGCCTGCTGACATCAACCTGCCTGGCTTTAGCGCTCAGCTGTGAGCACAATGCTGTCCTGGTCATGGGGAAAATGATCACATCACCCCCACAGTTCAATCTGAAATTATGCGTTTGGATGCTAAAAGTGCTCCCTCCATTTGTAGGCTTGAAAATTGTCACATTCATGTCATTGGTGTCTGGTTAAAATGAGAATTAAGGCTGCGGCCACATTTCAAACTGTCATCTGTCACCCCTGGAAATGTTTTATAATGACCCTCAATTATGTATTCTGGATGATGTTGCTAGGTGACCACACTGGCTAAGTGGCTAATGGGATCAGCCGGTGGTCACTCAGAATTGTGGGCTTTAAGCCGGCCAACACTCAGAACTCCCTAAGAAAACCACATCTGGTGATAAAGATTCCATCATCGAGGATGGGCTGCTTATTTGCCTTTTTCCACAGTGTTACAAAAAATGCATTACATAGATTCATTCATTACCATTTCACTATTCATGTCTAGTTTACATTGCTAAAATATAACTATTGTAGCAGGACTTGTTTTCCATCTGCAGTTACACTGACTCTTTCACAAAGACATTTTTCGTTATACAAAAATAGTAAAAAATGTTTGATAGCCTACATTTTTTCCACGTTGGGGTTTGCAGCTCTGCTGGCTGCTGCGGCTTCCTGATTTCCCAGCAGGATGAGTCTGACTTCATCTTATCTTCCATTATCACTTCCCCCCCCTTTGTCTACACCTGTCTGATGACTGAATCACGCTGAGGAGCCACACTTCTCCATAAAGACCCTTGCGTGAATGTCTTTATTAGCAGTTGTTTGCCCTACGCTGGGTTTTTTTTTCTGTCTACATTTGAATCCTCCAGGAAATGGATTAAGGACCAAATTAATACCACTTATTGTGACAATGTCATTACACCCTCCAACTGAAATGTTAGCTAAAGTGCTGATCTGATATCTGCTGCCTGAATCCAAATCAGTTTCTCAGTTTACTCCCTCTTTATTTCTCAGTGAGCCGCTCACTTCCCCACACCCTGAACAGCCTCCAACATGGCGGAGAACATGCTTATAACTGCCCACTCAGGGATGATGTGTGTTTTGAGCAGTCAGACAGAAGAGAAATCGCTCTCACTTTCTGCCCTTACTTGTGGCTTGTAGCACAAACACAAACAGCAGAATGAAGCGGTGAGAGTGCACATAAACATAATTACTTAGCAAACTCACCACTCTGTCAACTTACACATCAAAACATGAACAAAACAACATGTCATACACTCTCTTAGAAGAAATTTTAGCTACTACCACACAGAGACCGCCATATGCAGTACTTCACACATGACTTCTAGCTATACAACAGCTGAACCGCATCATACTTGCAATCTCATGCCTCATGCCTACAGTGTTACCTTGGCACCCTGGGAGTCCAGAAGCAACCACCTTTCTGCAATGAGAAAAATTGCTGGATACACGGTATGCAAGCAGTATGGTGACAGGAGGTATCACCCTGGAGTAAAATTTATAAAGTGGATATTGGTGCCGTCAAAAAAAGCAGATGGACTCACAGAAAGGCAAATGAAAATCAATGGTTATGACAATTTGCATATTTGTGATCAAGAAACTGACCTCACAGCCGATTGCCCACCCTCCAACTCCAGGTTGACAAAATCCCAGTTGCTTCATTTTTCTTTTGCTTTCTACTTTCACCTCTGAGGTGAGAAAGCAGGTCTTCCACTGCTCTGATCTTAAAGCGTGTGGCCTTGTGTGACCTGGCCACGCTAAGATCTCTTGACGTTGTACTCTCCAAACAGACACCATGAAAGTCTCCTAACTAAAGTTGCAAGACCCTGCAGAAGAGACCCTGGTTAGCTTAGTACACACCACTAACAAGGTGAAAAGGTTTAAGTTTAAGTTGTTCCTTCATCAAGAGCAACAGAACAAGTTTGCACAGTGCCATGAGACCCATGCATGTCTTTGGAACCAGGCCTCTGGAAGGATAGCATCAAAAAAACTAGAACTAAGAACTAGAACCCTGAATGAGCACATCAGCCTGACAGACAGACATAATCCCTAATACAACAAACTATATTCAAGGAACATATGCTGGTAAATCTGTGCAAATGTTGTTGTTTGATTGTAGGAATGGTGCCAATTTGCTATGTGTAAAAGATTAACAAAACAACTGAACTGAGGTCACAAGGTTTCCATGACGTCCTGTGACCAACCTGTAGTCCAAAAGGAGCTGATGATGTAGGGGCAGCAGACACAAAGACTCCACTGGGGTTTCTACACTGGACTGCTTTATTTCCCAGTTCAAGGTATTTCAGTGCAAGGCAGTAATAAACACAGTAACACCTACTCACCCATCCACCCACCCACCCACCCACCCATCCATCCATCCATCCACCCACCCACCCATCCATCCATCCACCCATCCACCCATCCATCCAGCCATCCAGCCATCCATCCATCCACCCACCCATCCACCCACCCGCTATATTTTTCTTACCTGTATATGAGTATATCATCTGTGGAACTGTTGTACTGGATCTGGTACATGCGCACTCCTGGTATGTGGTTCTGTGGAGGCCATCTAATGGTGGCAGAGCTGGACGTCAGATCCGACACGCTGACCCTGTGCTGGTCAGAGCGGGCCTGGCCTCCGCTGATATTGGATTTGATGGACGTAGGGATGTCTGAAGGCCCCGGGTCAGGGTCCAGCTTGGGGTCAAAGTGTGGAGAAGGGTTCACGACTAACTCGACAGGAGCAGTGGCCTCCCCGGCAGCATTGGACGCTATACAGGTGAACTTTCCAGAATCCTAGAAATCATTTAAAAAGATAAGAAAAAAGCCAACATTTATCCAAATTATCAACCTCATAAATCCAAATTATAATGAACATTATTTTTATAGTTATTTTGTTTTCATATAGTAATGTACGTTTTCTTCAATAAATGAATAAATAGGTTGTTTTAGTAAAAGCTGTTTGATATATATATCTACCAAAATGCACATCGTACAAATTTAAATTTACAAACCACGATTTGTTTGTTTTTTAACAGGCTTGAACAAAAATAGCTTGTTTAGTGACAATCTTGTATCAAACCAATTTTAAATGAGTTACTATTCTGCAAAATGAAGGCACCAGAGCCAGTTACACTTACTGATGCAGCATTAATCTAGCACATTTATAATAAACCCTTGCATATCTATATTCCTTGAAAATGAAAGTGCTTCTCTACCTTGACGGAGGCCTTGAGAATGTCAAGGGAACCATTCTCGTAGCAGATTGTTCTCGATGTGTTTCCAATCAACTTCCCATCTGGACTGACCCAGTGTGTTGACGGCTCAGGGTCACCGATGGACTTGCATCGCAGGCTGACTTCCTGACCCTCCATTACAAACATCTTGGAGGTGTGGCGCGTTATCATTGGTGGCTCACAAACAAACTCCTCCTATGAGGGGAGACATGAACTCTCATTTATCCAGAAATGTAATTGTTAGATAGATACAGCTAAATCGGTAAACAACAGATGGAACAGGTGAAATGTATCCAGTGGGATTAAAGTGCATCTTTTCATGAAAAACAATAATTTTTTTCTGCTTCTGCTAACACCAGCAGTGCATTCTTCCAACAGCAGAATACAGAAGGAGTTTGGTTGTTTGCACATTAAGATTAAGAGATCTCAGAGTTTCTCAGCCCTTGCATTATTTAAAACCCACCCACTGGCACCTAAGCCTGTGTAAAGCCAACCAAAACCCTGGTGGAGTATTACTGCGAGGCCAAGGAGGGGCAGCCGAGGCTTATCGGGGCTTACTCATCATTCCTACTACTCAGCAAGTCTCCGAACCTTTTTCAGGGTCTTTTTTTACCAGCAGAGATGATTGCTGACCTGATGACCGCTGGGCTGGAGCGTCAAATAAACCACTAGGGCCTTTCAGTCCTGTATTACATTTTGACCCTCAATTGCTTCTGTGAATCTCAGAGTAAAAGACTGATTGAATTGGGTTGTTTCCCAGCGTGAGCATGTGAAAGTGTGAAAGTAGGAGAATGTGAAGTCAGGGCCTTGAATGAAAACTAGTATGAATACTCGTTCACTTGCCTTACAGAAGTGGATAAACAAAATATCCTGTTTGTCCCACTAAATTCAACTAGTACCAACTCCCCCTTGTTGTCCGAGAATATTTAAGCATCAGTCAAGAAACAGAGCAGATGGAAAGAGCAGCCGAGCTGATGCCAAAGCAGGAATTCCCTTGCTGACCGACTGCTGATGTCTGACCTTTGTTGGAAACTGTGGAGGGTTTTTTGTTCTTGCAATGGCAAAGAGGCTATTAACTCTCTGAGTATTAATATGCCCACTCACTTTGGTGACACAGTGGTCTCTGGACAAACCTCTTCACGAGGCTAATCCTCTTAGAGTTATCATACAGCACCTGAATCAAAGGTCTCTACATCATCCTCTTTAAAATGATACCAGTTAATCCTATCTTCACCTCAAAGTGCACCTCCACTATTATCCAGGTAAAAAAAGTGCTTGGTATCAGCCACTTTAAGGGAACAACTTAAACTTTTATTGTTTTTTTTAATCTGGTGTGCTTAGTTTTAACACCAGCAGCAACAGCAGATCTGCTTTTTATTGTTTTTTTTCTGCCTTTTATAATATGATATTAATGCATTAATATACAAACATGAAAGAGAAAAAAATTGTAGTATTATGGCCTTTCAGGTTGTAGATATTAAAGTCAGGTGTTAGTGTAGAAATACTCTTGTCTTCTGTCTTCTTCTTAGCTCAAAATGTATACGTGAAGTGAGTAGAAAGACTACAAACGGTCATGGATGCCTGTGTTCTCATACACCAATGACATCACAGCAGTTCTTTTGCCGGGTACATGCCCAAAAATTACACTACACTAAAATCTCGAGTTTGAGTTTCAACAGCTGCTGTTTGTGGCTCTGTAAAGTCAACTTTTAATGCAATCTGCAGTGTTTTCAGCCAGAGATGTGCATGGCACATTGTGTTATGTACTTTTTACAAAACACCCTAACCTTAATCCTAACCCACTTTTTACTTCCACATTTCTTTTCGTTCCTCTGCTGAAGTTTAGACTGTAAGATATGTCACATCAACAACAACAAATCTGCCAAACTGACAAGACGACAGTAAAATTTGATGCTCAAAATGAACCAATCCACCTCGAACGAGGATACAAACAATCTCAAGCTTTTGGTAAAAGTATGTTTTTGTATTTGAAATCATATTTATATATGAAACCGTTCTTACTCCCAACGCGTAACATACTGACGATTTGTCACGCCCCGAGGTGTCCCATAAAAACGCCAAAGGTAACCTTCTGCATCCTATGATACGCGCCAGTGTGGATGGAATCCAATAGAATGACTCCCCGGCAGTAACACATGTTCCAGCCGTGTTTTTAACCCTAATCTTAATCCTAACCACAACCATAACCTTATCCCTAACATTAATCATTAAATAGTGTTTTCCAAAGCGATTCACAATGAGAAAGTAAAATAAATGTACATGTGTAGATTCATTCCAAATGGTTCTCATGTTTCTGAATACGACATTGGCTGTGTTGTGTGTTACGTTTTGGGATGAGAACCTGTTGTATATATATATATCTATTAGGGGTGCAACGATACACAAAATTCACGGTTCGGTTCGGTTCGATACTTTGGTGTCACTATTTGATATTTTTTCGATACAAAAAAATGTTCATGCATTTTTAATTTGTCATTTATTAATTTATAAATATATATTTTAACTCAAAAGTACAGTTTTTAAATTTAACCCTAACCCTTGTGCGTGTTTTTTATTTTGACAGCGAATGCACACCTGCGGACCACTTATGTGCAGCCCTGGTTATTTAGCTCATCATATTGCAGCCACAGAAATTCTTTTGTCCATGAAACCATAAAGCTGCACTTTCTTTTTGCCTTATAGTCTGATTTGTCATAACTTCTCCGTTTTGTGGTAAGCTTTTCTTTGGCTGTCACTTCTTCACCCAGACCTGTCTTATTTGGCTCAGCAGAACTGAAATGCTTTTACACACGCACTCACATAACGCTCAGCGATTCTCTGCGATCAACCTCTCACATGTTTAAGCTGCGGGAGATTTCACTTGTCATGTTTGCATAGTAAGCTAACGATTAATAAGACGATGTCAGAGGAATTGGTGCACAAATTATCATCACTCACAGATCAGTGCTGTCGCTCTCTATACACAGTTCGCAGGATTGCAAAGTGAAAGCAAAAAAACAAGCGCAAATTCAAACGCGACTTCAATATGTCACATATTGACAGTGGCTCACCGATGCCAATGACATAATTACCCAGCTACATTTCTGAAAGAATGCAAAAGCATTGACATATATTTTCGTACAATAGCCCGACGGGCAGGGAAGAGATAGATTTTGGTAGCCCGACTGAAAAAATCGCTAGCTCCGGGACGTCGGGCTAGCGATATTGCAAGCCCTGTATCTGATTGAGGAATCACTCATCTTTGGAAAAGAGAGTTTATTACAGAGAAATGTCTCTTTCCAAAATAAAAGCTATACTATCCGCTTCTTCTGGGCTATATTCTCAGCAGCATAAGGAGAATCATGTGCTAACAGCTGTCTAAATGACTCGGCTAAAGTTAGTAGCATGCTTGTTGTTTTTGTCTGCTTCCACTTGTCTTTGCACTACGATGATGTCGGGGTAAATGTGCAGTCATATTCGTTGTGTTCCCACTAGTGCTTTCAGGTTAATCTCATTGAAATGACCTTAACGCCACAACACCGCAAATCTCCGTTAACAAGCTGCCGCCGATAGCTCCGTGCATGGGGCTAGACGGCCAACACGTTAACGAGCTAACTGCGCTAACACACTAGTTCACACCAATGTAATTGAGCATTGCATGGCACATCCAACATACTGTTTTACTTTAGTCCATGACTCGCTTACCTTCAGGGTCATACGTCACATGAAAACCAAAATAATTCCAAACGCCAGATCTGAATGACATTCAATTTGCCTGTTGCAAGAAGAGCTTAACTTCTGTCTCGCTAGCTTGCCCTGCGCTCTTCCTTCTGACTATGCTGTCTGTGTTGAGCGCTCAGTGGATCTGCGCTCGACAGTGCAGCCTAGGCGGAGTAGTCGAACACAGATTCACTGAGCGCTCAACACAGACAGCATCGTCAGAAGGAAAATTGATAAAATAAATTACAAATGTTGTATTGTACATATGCGTACCGAACCGAAAGCACTGTATCGAAGGGTTCAATATCGATATCGTTGCACCCCTAATATCTATATATTAATATATAAAGCATGCTTGATTTTAGAAGGATGATTCAGCTCAGCATTTCTCTTTTATGATTTACTGTGAAAAGTAGTAGAAGTATATAAATGTGCAATAATACATACGTCGGTGATGATAATGGCACAGTTCATATGCTTGCTTAAATAGTGATTATTTTTACAGTTTTACTTTCAGGAGAAACTGAGCGTGCTGCAGTGAGCTATTGCAGTTTTCTAACATATCACAGTGTTAAATATAACAAGGCTAACAAGAGAAAGCTGACTTTGTTGGGAAAATGATCGGGACTGCAAACATACTAAATGACAGAGATGTGTTCATTGTAAAAGTAGAAAGATTTCTGATGTTATGTAGGCACTGTTAGAGTTAACATCTTTTATTTTTCTGCCTGTTTATATTTTATTTAAAAAAAAAGCTTTTGTTCTATTGCATTGGTTTGCCTTTGTAACAAGTCTCCAGGGACTCTCCAGGGATGAAAAATAGCTTTGTCGCCACAGTCGCTGTAATGTTTATCTAATGTGTGGTGTCTCTGTTAAATAAACCAATAATAATACATGTATATGGATAAAAAACAAATATTGGGATCCATCTGTTTTAGTTTTGCCTCTCGTGGCCTCATTTTACTCTGTGCTTCATCACTGTGGCTCAATAAACCATATCCTGGGTTTTTGCTAGAACATAAGCCTAAACTTTTCCTCTATCATATAATATAATGAAACTCAGTCTTTCTAATGCATTTTTGCAGACCTAACTCCATGACTCCACACTTTCAGCAGAAGGTTCACTCCGCTGTGACACCAACCGTCTGGCCTGCTGATATGTCCTTGAGAAAGAACGTGATTATGTCTCCACTGAGGGCTTCAGTTAAAGCAGCAGAAAATCAAATTTTGCTCTGTGGTTTAATGGTTTCAAGGCACCAAAAACACTGAATTACACAATGAATATTTAAAAGTATATATTTTTGGTTTGAATTAAGGGTAATGGTGACTTGGAGCTCATTAAGTATGCCCTCCATGAGTATACACTTCAGACTGTTATCAAAAAAAATGCATTCTTATAATTTAGACTCTAGAATCTATTACCAACAGTAGTGAGTTTGTTCTTACACAGTAGAAACCTCCTCAGCTCAGAGCATAAAAGTAATGCCAACACTGCAGTTCCTCTCACTGCCATGAAATGTTTAGAGCCTAATATAAAAATGGTTTTGGTCTCTATAATTAACTTAACCGTTTATAACAGCTCTATAAGTAGATTTGGATTTTAAAAAAAAACAACTATTATTGTGCTATGGCCACTTCATAAGACCTGTGGCTATAATAAGCTGCATGGTGACAGCCAAAAAGCTGGAGTCTGCAACAAAAAGATTGACATCAAGGTAAAAATGTATCAACACTCGTAGAGGTTTAGCAAATTGCAAATGTTACATTTCTGACCTATCATTTTAATTACTTTGGCTTAAGACTCTGTTAAAAAAAAACGTAAATAAAATAGAGTGCTTTATGTTGCTTTTGCTTTAGTTAACAAACAACATCATAGTGTGTTAATTTGCAAGGTTACAAAATGAGGTTTTAAAATACACAATAGCTTCAGCAAACCTCTCTTATGGTCCAGAAGTATTTGCCAGCCAGGTCTTTAGGTGAAGCGCAGGTCTCCAGATCGTCCTCTCTGGTCAGCCTGCGAAGCCAAACCAGCTCACAGTTACAGTGCAGAGGGTTCCCGCCAAAACTCAGCACCAGCGCTGTAAGAGGAGAGCCCTTCATCTTGGCGTACACCGGGATCCGCAGGAACAGTGGGTCTGGAGGTATTTTCTTCAGCTTGTTAGAGGTCATGTCAAGCCTGGTGACACAACACAGAGAGTTCATATTTTTCCATCACAGCTATTTTTCTGGCAGTTTTAATGAAAGCTTTGAACATTCTGGAGATTAGAAGAAGATCCATGCCATGATCCTGATCAGTGGACCTCTTCAGAAACAAAATAATAATTATTATAAATGTGGTGAAAATCTATGTGGATGAAGTGGGAGGAGAGGAGATGGGTAGTTCATCGATCAGGTGGGTGGACATGTCCAAAGGTGAGATAGAGGGATGGAAGGAAGAGGAGAGAGAAAGGTCAACGATAAGGGAGAAAGTGTGGGGAGGGGAGCTGAACACGGCTGCACTCAGTCAGCCAGCAGTTCTGCTCTTCTGTCTTGTTGGATTGTAGTTAAAAGAATCACACATTTCTGCAGAAGGTTATTAATCTCAACAGTGTTTCCACACATTTTATTTTAGAAATAAAAGAAAAGTCTGTAAAGTTGAGAAAAATTTTTCCCCTCTCTGGCTGCCACTGAGGAGAAATTCAGTCTTTAAAAAACGGGCCGATTCAATCACTTACAGTTAAATAAAAAAATAAAAGCCACAATCATTTCAAAAAGCAAGTAAGTCTTCAAACACACACAGAGAATAACCCTTGTATGTAGACGACTGCCTCCAAACCCAGTGTCATGTGATGAGGTGAGCCAGTGGGCTCCTTTACCCCCCTGGATGAGACTGCCCTCGCCTGTGCTGGAGGAAAATGGGCCTATGTGGCTGTCGTGGGAGACAGGAATACTGGTGCCCCATTCCTGTGACTCCTGTGACATGCAGAGCGACGTGGTTCCTTGTTTTTGTATTCACTTCTGAATCACATTTAGTCTGACCATTCACCCAGAACCACTTTGCTTTGGAAAAGCTTAACAGGAGCAACTTGCCCCAATAACATAGTTCTCAGAATCACTTTAGGATATAATTCCCTCCATCCTGTTAAGATGTTGATCCCTGAAGGGATCAGAGGCTGCAGCTCTCAGACAGTAAATGGTGGAGTAGTCTGGGTGGTGAAAAGTGGCTGCCCCAAGTGGAGAAGTTCAAGTATCGCAGGGTTTGTTCATGAGTGGTCATGAATGAAGGGAGAGTGGAGCAGGACACTGACAAATGTGAGGTGCGATAGAGATAGTTTGCATTTTCTCTCTTTGCCTGCATTCTGGAGGTTTCTTCCTGTTAAAAGGGAGTTTTTCCTCCCCACTGTTGCCAAATGCTTACTCATAGAGAATCAGTGTATGCTTAAATGTGCTTTAAGGTCTAATTTGTATGAAAAGTACTATAAAAATGCAAGTCCAGCCAGCACTAGAAAATAGATGGTAAGAAAAATGGTGCACAATTTTTGTCCGATCCAACACACAGACTCACGAGTGACATCAAAGGCAGTTGAAGTCTTCTCACACGTTCCAAACAGCATGTAGAAAATCTGAAATTAAAGCTTGTGACCGCATCACAAAGTGACATCAGAAGGAAGAGACCTAACAACATACAGATATTCCATGGTGGCTTTTCCATCAACCATTCGTCGTCTCCGAGGATTGAATAGTAATTTTCCTCAGCAAAACATTGGGCCCGGTAATAACGCAGGAGAGTCAAGCTTTCACTGCTGTCAGCAACAAATACAGGAAAGTGTATTTCCCTCTAGAAGGTCCCCGCAGAAATATTCACCAACAACGATGACTTAACAAGAAGTTAATGGCTGTGACAGCAGCGCACAATCTGCACTTGACAAATTTCAATTATGTTATTTCATGTGCAGCAAGCTTGTGGTGTATTATTTGTGAGTGTGTGTGTGTAAAATATATGTGGAGGCAAATGTTCTCCTGTGCACCAACAAACACTGAGTAAAAAATGTGTCTGCAGGGCAAAAATATCTAATTGAACCTTTAAAAAATGCTTGAATATTTATCCATAGTTGCCTTTAAAACATCAATCAGGGACTTGAATGAAAATTGATTTCAGCTAATGAGCTTTAAATGCTATTTTTTGCCAGTTGGGGGGAAATTACGTCACACGTAAACTAGCTTCAGCATAAAAACAGCATTTTGATTGGGGAGCTGTCACTGGTGATTCATTGGCTTTTAGACAGGTCTGCTGTTGTGAATCACATGCTTGACTATGATGCAAGAGCATTTAGACGTTTCATTAATTTTTTTTAAAGAATTGTATCCTTCTTCCCAAAAAACATTAATTTCAGCCTTGTTTTAAAGACTATTTATCTTCTGTTAGTTTTTTCCCTTTTACACATAAATGAGTGATCATTGTTAATGAGCTTTAAATGGCATTTTGTGCCTCTTGACTGAATTTACTCCCCATATAATAAGAGCATTAATGCAATGTTGGCATTTATCAGTCAATTATAAGATTTTCTGGAGTTTGGATTGGGACTGGAGAGCACAGAGCACTGCAAACATTTAAACAGTGTGTAACCAGCTCTAAGAACAGAGACATGGAGAAGAAGTCTGCCTGCAGAGAAGCAGTCCAGGTCACTATTTCAAATCCCCGTTGAATGAGGGCTGCAACAATTACGATCGTCCAATATTGACGTGCCTGCAGGCAAAATGCTGAACCTGCAGCTGCTCAGGTGAAGGCGTAATACAGTCCTGGTCATAGGGGGCATTTCTCAGGTTCAGAGCATAGAGCTGTTGAACAGCTTTCCTCCAAAGCGAGCTGATACTCAAAGGCTTAATTTCCATTAAAATGAGCTTCAAAACTGAAGGATTTGCTGTGTGATTTTAGTTCCACCATATCGTAAAAGAAACTCAGAAGAATTAAGCCATATATATAAATATGTAAAGCTCTTTGAGTTGTGTGTGTGTGCATGTATTAATAAAACATAATTTTACAAGGTTTATTTTAATTTTAAAGCCTCAGTGCAAATAAAAACTCCTGCACATAATGTGTATTCTGGCAGGACAGAAAGAACTCTTTTATTAAGCCTTTTATTCTTTATCCATTCGGATATTTCTGTCACTGGAATGATGGCAGCTTTAAATAATCTTCCTAGAAATGAATTCTTTAATACTATGAATTTTTTCCACAGTTGTTATAATTCTGCCTTTCTATCTCAAGCATATTTAACCAGAAATGTTCATGTCCTAAGAGCATATTGGGTTCTTCAGCTGCTGCATGTTTCACTGTCTTTGGCAGCTGGTTTCTGACGGTGTCATCGGGGCAGACATAGGGCATCAAGCTGGCTTGGGAAAGCCTTGGAATACCCCAGAAGAGCTAAAGAGAGACTGCGGGATGAGGGCTGTCTGAGCACCTATATATAGACTGTTCTGTCACGAGGATGGATGGATGGATGGATGGATGGATGGACTGGTGAGGCTTTTAAGGTTTAGAGTCCCAAGATTCTTTTTCATTTGGATCATCTTCTACACTCTCCAAACTTGACAAGCAACCTGAAGCTCCTCCCCTTTCATCCCCTTTCTACTGGTCATTAAGTAAGTACACGCATTAGGTGGACCATGTGTGTAATAGACACGCTGGTCAATGTGTCCATTTCACGCTTTGCCTCTCCAAAATTCGAAATGCACACACATGAAAACGTTGCATTAAGTTGCAGAAACAGAAGCCAACATGTAAATAATCACTGGAAGATGTTTAAACAGCCATTATTAAGTCATTTACATGGATAGACATATTAATCCAAGGACCCTGAAATGTGCATACGTTTCTTGCTCACTAGAGACTTCGTGGCTTTAAATATATTATCTCCCCCTGCTGCGAACGCAACTTCTGCATGTCCATTACACGTTTCGTTGTGATACTGATTTGTGTAAGTGCAGGTGAATGGTAATTGGCAGTTTAAATTAAATACAGCTGGAGCTTTCATTTTCCCACTTCCAGTCAAACTCAGGCAGGCTGCAGCACTGCAGTGTTATGTGATCCTGACCTGGCCAGTTTGTGCAGGTTGGAGAAGATTCCCTCTGGGACGCTCTCTATGAGGTTGTGGTCCAGGCTGAGGGTGTTGACACTGACGAGCAAAGCAATGGTGTCCCAGGGGATTTCCACCAGGTTGTTGTAGCTCAGATCCAAATCCTCCAGAGTCTCCAGGAAGTCCTGTGAGGGCGACAGAGGCAGGATGCTATCAGTGACTTTAAAGGCTCAAAGTGGTATAATTAAAAAAAAAAACAAGCATGACTTTGCTTTATCTTCAAGTGCTGAAGTATAGCATTAAAGGGTAAAGAGACAGATAATAAATAAGAAGGATATAAAATGGAAAAGAGATGAAAATGAAACTTGCAAATAAAAAAGGGAAGAAAAGAAGGAAGGCCCAACAGAAAAAAATACAAAAAATTCCATTTCCAACAAAAGTGGGGGAAATAAGTACAAAGAAAATCTTTGGTATGATAAGAAAAGATACAAATTTAGAAATAGAAAGAATGAAACATCCAGATGAACAGAATCATCTTTCTGGGAACTGAATCCAAACAAAGAAAAAATGAAATCAGTTACTGCGCCAGGCTCTTCTCTCTAATTGCCTCTAAACAATTCTCATAATGTGGACATAGATGAAATGTCACGAGTCAGCACACATTCCAACGAGCAGAAACACAAAGATGGAGAAGAAGATGAAGCTGGATTGAAGGAGCGCAATAAAAGCCTGGCGATCAGCTAAAGTGTTGTTGCTGCTGTAATTGCTCTCATAATTCACACAATCAGGACAGTGTTTGAATGTCACAATGCCTTGATTCTCATTACAATAATCAATGCTTTATTGCTTTTTCAACAAAGGGAATCTCATTTCTCACTGACAAAAGAAACTTTAAGAGGCGTGAAGAGAAGTTCAAAGACAGCAGAACAGAGTCCCAACCGTTCCACGACTGTCCTCTCAAGAAAATGACTGATTTTGTTCAAACTGCTGAAAATAACTGTTTATGTGCAGTTTAATGGTGGGGAATCGGTGCTTGAAATAACTGGTTTTCACAGTGGGGACTGGAGTTTCCTACCATCATGCCCCAAAGCCAGTAGACGACGATCTCAGCCATGTGCAGCATGCTAACGAATAGCTTACAAATGAAGATGATATTTGTCTTGTGTTCCCATTTCACTGATTTTTGTTTGCTTCCTTCAGTGTTAGGCTCACAGTATTACCAGTATTTGTACACAAACTGAACACATTGTTATAAAGTTTGGCTATCTGCCATTGTGACATTCTATACTTGGTTATATGTCAGAAAATAAGTGAGAGTAGATCAAGGTTAGTGTATTGTGTTAATACATTATATTTATCTATGTTGGAGCCTCTTCCTTAGAGAATGTATATTAGACTTAAAGAAGAAGACGTTCTTCATGTATATTACCTGGCAGTGACTGACTGTGATTGGACAGCTGCAAACAAAATATACACTGAAGTCTCGTCAAGTGCAGTGTGTTGATATTTTTATGCATATGGACAAAAAAAATATCTTTTTTGTGTGCTGTCTGCAGGATGTTTGAAAACACTTGTATTTAAACTACATTTAGTGGAAATTGACTCTGAGTGCTGGATCTCAAGGGACTTTTAGTAAAATCAACTTTTAGCTATTATTATGATTTAGTTGGAGAAACAGCACTTGTTCTTAGATAATAAAGTCTTGAAAGTGAGAGCGACACGAAGGAGGAAGGAGGAGAGGGTCAAAGCCATGTGTAAAATGAGACACTTTCTGATACAGCGAGTGAGAGCGGAGCAGTGAGGGTCGGACTAAAGTTCAGACAGTTCAATCCATTAGTGAGGTCAGAGTTCACGCCACTCTAGTTTATCTTCATGAAATGTCCGCAGAGGTCTGTGAGCCAGTCCTGAGGGGACACTTTTAGTCCTTTAATGAGCAGAGAAAGGACAGCATCATCAAGACGGGGGACACGGTTTATTCTAGGACCGGGTTATTAAAAAGGTGTCCAGCTGGGTGGCAGAGTGAGGCGGGCAGGCAGGGCTGGCTGCTTCTGCTGGACTTTCGAGTTAGAGCCAAAAATGTTGTCTTACACAACACTTGACCCTCAGCACTGAAACTTTTCATTAATGACTTTGCAATAACTTTTCCACTCACGATCTTGGCTCTTGTGTGAACGCTTGGTTGACAACGAATGTTAAAAGCACCGATTAAAATTAGTTGGATTTAAAACACTTTGTTAGTGTAATTTGGGCTTACCCAGAGGAGCTGGTGGCAGTAGAAAGAGCAATTTAAACACTTCTAAGAGTTTTGCATCCTTTATGTGAGTGATTTTAGTTCATTTTCAGAGCAAGTTCTTAATTACACTGTGAAATGGTTTTGCGTATTGAGAAGCAGAGCTTAATTTGTAGGACCGCTAGGATTATTTTTTAAATTGAAATCATAATTTTAAAGCTACTTAATGTCCGAGGTTAAATGGACATTTTTGTCCCTGTAGTTTTATTTATGTGTCTAGATTTTGGCCCAATTTCTGATACGAAATTAAATTAAAAAGTTCTTCTTCACGTGTCTTTGAGGACACGATCAAGATGGGGATTTCCGTTCTCCAGAGTTTCTTTACTGGTTTAATAAGAGTTAAAATATTTTTACATATTTAAAAAATATACATTTTCTCTGCATGAGCTGGATGTTCAGCTATGCTTTAGTACCTGAAAGGCTCCCTCTGATATACTGTGCAGCTGGTTGTTGGCCAGGATGAGGTGCCTCAGGTTGACCAGGCCCTGGAAGTGAGAGTCATCCAGCACGGTGAGGCGGTTGGCATCCAGGTGGAGGGCGTGGAGGTCCTGGAGATCGGCAAAGGTGTACGGCCTGATCTGGCTGATGGTGTTTCGACTTAGTGTCAGGTGGATCTGGACATGCAGGAAAACACAAGATCCACATTAAATGACCCATTTTCATGTAAAACACCAACACGTTGTTTGTTGCCAACTCAAAAATGGTGCAAAATGGATAAAAGCAATCTAATAAGGTTCACTTTGGCATATTTCTGTGTAGGGAGGTAAGTGATAGCTTATGAGTCACCACTTAAGATATAATGTTTAGTTTGAGCAGGTTGAACTCGCGGGTCTGTGGAGATTAAACTTGTATTTAACCTTCCACATTTTTTCATGAATGATACTAGTAATTAACGTGAGAGTACAATGGGTCAATGAATGAGTCCGGTATCCATTTATACTTAAAGCTATCATTAAAAAGCTCGCTGCTGAGGTCAGGAATTGCAGTCTGCTTAATACCTCCACTGTACACAAAATATGAGTGCAAAGATGCAAAAATATATTCGATTAACACCCAAGAAAGGGTCAATCAGCCCCCACACATTTCGAATCTGCTGTGGAAATGAGCCTCGATCACAGGGGACATCTGTGGCGCTCCGTCACGCTCATCACCAAACGATTAGAGCCTCATTTCCCACGTTTCCTTGTGTGTGAGCAAACATCTTCCATGCTGTTGTGCTCACACTAGAGAGAAAAGTTATTTTTCACACACTAAGGAAGTCTCCAGCTGTGACGAGTGTGTCTATTTGGTGCGTAAATATGGTGATATTGGTGGTTTTCTTCTTGAGCTGCGTGCAGTGAAGCCTCGTTGCCCCCATTACTGTGATTACGGTGGGATTAATTAGTGAAATCCATTAAGATATCAGAAATGTCACCTCAGTCAACATGTTATGCTGTAAGGGGCAGATGTTCCTAATGTTTTCTGAGCTCTCTGTGGAATAAACATGACATGTTGCCTCATTTCTTACTTTCACATTCAGAGTTTTCTTTACTCTGACTGATGAATGCTTGCAAACCCTCCTCAGATGCTATCACACCATTAATCTGTGATGCACGGTTTATTTCCGAGTTTATTTTGAACTCCAGTGAGGCACTTTACTCTTTCTGTACTGGTTACTCTTTTCTGTCAGGTAAATGTACTTCAAATAGAGGTGTCCTCAATTTCTGCATTTCTGCCATAGGATGCTGCACGATGAGTCTAGTTTTTGACCGACGGTTTTACAAAGATGCAAATATCATAAATAAAAATATTAGATATGATCTAACTGTGTGACAAAACCCTGTTCTAGATAGTGTTAGAAAACGTGTATTTAAGTATCACTCTGGTCTGTTGCTCTTTGTTTGTTGGGTCTGGATGGTTCTGGCAAAGACTTGCAGGCTTTTTGGGTCAGCATCTTTATGTAAAACATCATTCACCCTGTTTCATTTCTGCTACTGCAACATTACAGAGACACAAGGACGATGATTAAATTAAAGTATTTACTTCATTTTGCAGTAATGATGTGTTTCAGTGTAAACGTGTTCATTTCACGTCTTAACATGGGAGTTTATGGACCGACTCACTTTTGGAGCCTGCCTCAAGAGGCCATTAGAGGAACTACAGTTTTTGGCATTACTGCACTGGCTTCACTTTTCAGCCCCGGAACAGGTTGCCACTTGTTCTCTACTCATGCATTACTTTGTCTCTTATGCTCTCAGTTTCACCACATATACTCAGAGAGGAGCACACGAAATGAAGGTGAATTGACATAATGGGCCATGACAACAAATAATTACAGGCCAATGCAGGTCAATCATCAACTCCTCAAAAGGAGGATGGCTGCAGTGTCAGGTGGGACTAGTTACTCTGTTACTCCGTTTCAGAAGTTCATTAGCAAAAAGGGAAACTCCTGTAACGAGCTATTTCACGGCATCAAACGCTCTCTGTAAAACCCTGGAACCTGTTCAATGTGGAAAATGTTCCATGATTAACACTTTATTGTAATGTCACTGCGTGACTGAGACTTGACAGCAGAATCGGGTAGAGAAACCTTCCTCCAGTTGATCAAAGCTGTTTTAACTCTGCAGCTTCAAAATGTTGCGTTTAACTTAAGAATGACCGCTGCTGTTCATCTGCAGCAATCCAGTCAAGCAGGCTGGGAGATGCTGAAGTACAGGATTACTTTTCCCAATAAATTCAAGCATAACATTAATAACCTATAACATCTTGCATGAATCTGAACTGTTGCTGCAATATAACTGAAGTAATAATGGGCACTGATTCATCTCTGATGGCTTAACAAGTCTTTTGGCTCAGTGTGCAAAAAAATGTAATTCATGTAAACAAAAGGCTGTTTAATAAGCTAATAAGTAGAGCACGGTTGAGTAAATATAATCAATATGTGGGGCAGCAGTAGCATAAATGTTTAGAATAACTTGGTTGCTGTGATCTTTTTCATGCAAAGCTAAAACAACAGTTTCCTGGCAGGAGCGGCCCAGGTGGAGCCTGCTTAGCAGAAGGAAGCTACAGTACAAACATGAATGTGAAGGTGTTAAAAAAGTGAGCTCTGACCAGGCTGGTCATGTTGGCGAAGTCACGGTGCCTCAGCGTCGTAATGAAGTTGTCCATCAGCCTGAGTTCAGCCGTCTGGCGGTCAATGTTGGGCGGAACGAAGAGGAGGCCTGTCTTGGCGCAAAGCACCGTGTAGGACGGCAGCAGATTCTGGCACGTGCACCGCTTCGGACACAGCATGGACGAGGAGCAGGAGGGGAGGGAGGACAGGAGGATGAAGAGGAGAGGGCAGACCAGCAAGGAGATGATATCCATGGCTGCTCTCCTGCTGCAACAGAGAAATTAGGAACACATCAGTTCATGCAGCAGCACACACTCAAGTATCAAACTGGACTTTAAAAACACCCAGCAGGGGACAGAAATGACTTCCAGAGCTCACACGGAGCATCAAATTAAGAAAAAACACTGCACTTGATCCAAATCGGCGCTCCTTGGTTTGATTTAAAGGGTTGGTTATTCAGCAAAGACAGTCAAACACTGCAGGATGACTCTATAAATGATTATTCATCACTGCAGAAAACACGCTGTTTTTCTTCTTTTCTGCTTTTTTTTGGCTGTACACAGCAACAAAGCAATATTTCTTTTATGCATCTTTTTCCACAAAAAGTTTCAAGAAAAGAAAAGTTTTATATTAAAGGATAGAGGAGACAAGAGATAGATGGTTAAGGAGATGGGAACGGGAGGGGAATCAGAGACGCTGAGGTAAATGAAAGAATTTAAGAGCATGTTATTGCAGCACTTTCCCTTTTTTTTGCTGAGTGAGTTGTCCTGGGAAAGTGAAAGTAAACAGCATGCATACGACCAATTAACCTCAGCGCACTCTTATGATTGCAATCTAAGTAGAACATTAAAGAACACAAATTACACAGTGTGCAGTTGTCTGCCTCACTTCATAAATTTCAGAGATGTTTTTGTGCATGAAAATGAGACCAAACCAAGTTTCCCAGCCATGGCAATAAAGGAATACATTTACATTCATATTGATTTCGCTGTATGTTTGTAAGTTCAACTCGGCGGAGCCCTGAATAAATTCATATGAAGAGAAAAGGGAAACACACAAAAGCGGGAATGACACACGCAAAGGAAAATCATGAGAACGCACACACTCATTCATGCATGCGTGCGGACTCCCGCATGTGCACACACTCTGAAAAGTTCTTCTGAGTTAGATGCCGAGCGACTGGAGGAAGGTCGATTGCAAATAACAGCGGAAAGAGACGCGCTCTTTTATTTATGGTGCAGAAATATTCAAACTGTGCCTCAGCCTGCAGCACAGAATACAGAAGAGGAAGCGTCTGTGTCCTCATAACATGGTAGAGTGCAGGATACGGAGTTAAATGTGAGCAACTAATGAGAGAGATGTAATGGAATGAGATAAATTCAATGGAAATGATGAGGAGAATTCAAAACCCAACTGAGACTACACCCAAATGTCAATGGGTAATTCAGGAGTGTGCACACGATGGGAATTCAAGCGTTCAAACAATAATGAGCGCCGAACGGCGCTCACAAATTTGTCACGTGAATGAGAATCTCAAAGACGTTTGGCTAGGCTCAGGGTAAACGAAAAAGTTTCATATGTCGTATCTGTGACTCATCCAACAGAAGGGTTTCATTGATTGACCAGGAAGTCCTGCTGATATCAAAATGTCTTTAAAAGGAGAGACCTGGCCGAAGCAGCAGCAAACACAGCGTGACAGTATGAGCATGTGCCTCCTCGAACCACATACATTCAGATCTTTATGGAAATGTATTCCACGTCCACGATGTACATTAACAATACGTGCATATGAACAGCATGCATGAAAAATGAAGCTCAAAGAGGAGCATGGCTTGGAAGTTTGTTTCAGTTTTAACTATCACAGAGTTTCCTGCAAGTTGTCAGTGACGACTACCAAATTATAATAAATGTAAAGGTGTGAGAGAGAGCATAGAGATGCATGACTGAATCAAATGAGTTTAAGTGTTATCAGAACAGAAATGCGCTTCCCTTTTTTGTCTGGACCCTTTTTTAATTTGCAGTTTTAAAATGGTTTTGATCTTTGATGGAGGACAGTCCAACTCTACAGGCTTGAACTTGACAAAAAAAGAATTGAATTCAAATGGTCACCCATACATATGCAACCTGTTCTCATTCCTAGGGCATGAGCACTTGACATGCTGGCTGAGGGAATATTGGACACTGAGAAGGAATGGTCCACTTGTTTGGTTCAGCAAAATATGCTTGTTTTTGTTAAAACACACATTAACAACATTAACATTTAGACTGGATTCTGAACTCCCGGCGCAGATACCAAGTAGCACCTTGTGGTTGGTTGTTGGCGTTTTAGAGAACAGCAGTAATTGATGCCTGGGAGAGAGGATGAGCTGTGAGAAAGCATTTGCCCTCTTTTCCTGATTTTTGAATAAAACATGTAAGCGTGACAAATATTGTCAGGACCAGTGAGTCCACCTCTGAATGGGTCAAAAATACAAATTGAATGGTTTTGGTGTGGCTTAGTCAAAGTTTGGACTTAAATCCGATTGATTTTTTTTTAACTTTAGGCTTTAAACTGGCCGTTCATGACGAATTAAAACAAGTCTGCAACTAAGAGTCAATCAAAATTCCTCCACTGCGATGTGAAAAGGCTCATCGCCGATTATCAGAAAAACTTGACCGCACATTTTCCACACAGTGGCAGACAGGTCTGAAGAGCTCTTTGTAATAAACGAATCATTCAAGTAAAAGCTAACTGCATTTTACAATTACTCGGGTCATCTTTGTCTAACTTTAGAATTATTTGGGTGATCTAAAATATGTAAATATGTAAAAATAAATCAGGAAGGGGGACATGTGCAGCGCTGTATATGTGCTGGACACATTAAACACAGAACACTGTTGGTGTGAGGCAGAGGTGACCAATTATCTCTACTGTTTCAATTTGTTTACAGCTCGTTAATATACACTGTTTCGTACTTTTGCAGGTTTTTCAGGTGCCGTAAGATGTTGGGTCTCTGAAGAGCACTGGTGCTCTGAGAACAGATTTAATTTGTTTAGTCAGGCCAGCTTAGCGTGAGAAAAATGCAAAACAGTTCTTTTTCAGACTACAAGCACTTCTCAATCTCCGTCGCTCTCTCTCCTCTTTTCATCACTTGCTTCTCGACTGAAAGTGCTTCTCATTTCAATTGCATTGCCTCTTTTTTCCATCCTTCTACTTATCTTTCTGCCTGCATCATCCCATCATCCCTCTCTCAAACCCTTTTCAGCTGTTTCCTGTCACCTCTCACTTCTGAGACTGCAGACATCCCTTCATTCCTCTTTCCTCCCATCCTATCATCATTCTCTTCCTCCATCTGCATCACTGCCTCTATCCATCCTTCTGTCTCTCCATTTTCATCCCTGGAAGAGCATTTACTCATCTATCTCTCCACATGACTTACATGTCCATCCCTTTCCCCTCTGTGCATCTCTCTCAACTCTCTTTGATCAACTCCTTCTTCATCCATCTATCCTTACCACTAATTTTTCACACTGTCATCCTCCTGTCATCTCCCCTTCTATTCATCGCCTTTGCGTCATTCTCTTCCTCATATTTAAAAATAGTATGTTACATGTTTGGGATCTGCTGCTTGCAAAATAAAAGGCACGTGTTGAGCAACATGTCCTCAGATGATAAAGAAATATGCAATTTAACATTAAAATGATCATTTGTATGTTGATTGAACTTCATGGTTTGCCGGCCAGACCTGAGTTAAAGTGACCTTCAAAGAAGCAGGAGGTACTATTGAGAGCAGCGGTACTTCTACTTGCCTCTAATTTGTTTTGTTTGGACCTTGGGATAAGATCTCAGACATGGTCTTGAAATTCTTACCAATCACATCTTGGCATCTTGGTTTGTAGCGTGTTAGTGTGAGGCTATCGAGTTGCAAACGCCGGGACTGAAAAATGAAGCCTAGTCAGAAAAAACTGCAGTTCTTGGTTTGGCCACATGAGGCTGCCTCATGCGTCTCCCATGTTAAATGACCAAACTTAACAGCGTTAAGCAACACATTTACCACCTGATACAAAAGAAAACCCCCTGCTAGGCATGATCTCAGCGAATTTGAGATGCCGAATACGTCCACCATTTTCAAAACAACCTGTAATGCTGCAGCTTTGAGCTGCATAATAACTCTCATTCCAACATGCTCCTAATCAGGATACTTGCTAATTAAAAAAACAATTATGACGATGAAAATCATCATGATGAGCCAAAAGTTTCAAACTGTAGTAAAATGTTTGAACCTGAAGAAGGTACAAGTGGCTGGAGTCTATCGCAGCTATCACAGGGCAAGAGGCAGGGTACACCATGGTCGCCAGTCTGTCGCAGGGCTAACACTGACAACCATTCACACCTTGGCAATTTAGAAGTACCAGCAAACCCAACTAACTGCATGTCTTTGGATTGTGGGAAGAAGCCGGAGCACCCGGAGAGAACCCACGCAAACACGGGGAGAACATGCAAACTCCTCACAGAAAGACCTGAAGGTGGAGTCGAACTCAGGACCATGAATGTGTGAACCAACTTATTAATGCATTTTCACTGGAAAACTCGACAAAATCAGTGGGATGAAATCTCAGGGAAGTGCAAATATCTATAAAAATGTCTTTTTGCCAGTCCATCCAACCAAATTTTGAATGTCAGAGCAACCTAATATTCCTAAAATGCCATTATTCTTTTTGCTCCAAGACCACCTCTGCAAATGTCACAGCTTTGTAAAGTGGTGAAAAATCCTACTAATTATAGTAAAATATGGTAGTGGGATAAGCTTCTCTTTGGGGCACTCTAAGATGCGCTCAAGCATGCGGTTCATGGTTGTCAGCATGCAAACCATCAGCTGTTCCTAAAGCTGACCAAGTACTTTTCTTTCCTAAAATACTTTTCATTTCTTTTTCAGTTCAGTTTTATTCATATAGCACCAAATCACAACACCACAGGTGCTTCACATTGTAAGGTTTAAACGTAAGGTGTTGATGTCTCTAGAGTATTTTTTGCATTAATATTGTCAATGAACAAAGGAAAGCTTTGACTGTGTGTCACATACATTTTGTCATTCATGATAAAAAAAAGTGCCTAAAGAATCACAAGAGTGAGCAGAAATCACACAGAGAAGTCACAGAGAATAGTGTGGATGTATAGGCTGAAGAGAGAAATAGAGGAAAGCCATTGAGTGGGTGGGAGCTTGATGAGAGGACAAGAGCAGAAGTTCCTTTTTCCAACCAGCTGGTGGAGATGTTTAGCTACAGCT